AACTGCTCAAAACCCTTACTGGTACCTCCGCGTGTGTGTACATACCTTTGACTATCTGGCGACCTACCTACATACCTATCTATCTACCCACCTGCTTGAGTACCTACCTACCTACCTACCCTACGCACCTTGCCTTACCCTACCCTCTTCTACCCTGTGTGATCTACTTAATTATGTATCTATCGATTTTTTTTGTGTCTATCCAACTATCTACCTATCTAATTATCTATTTATCTACCTATCTACCTACCTATCCACAAAGTCAAATCTTCGCACCCGTCAGAATGCAGCAGGCTTTTGGCCTTGGGGTTCCCGCCTGTTCCCCCTTCCCCCACATGATGCCTGCAATAAGGATCTGATTCCATATCGGCCCGAAACCCATAGGAGCCGCATACATCCGAATCCCTTCGTCTCTTCACCGTCGTGTGGAGATTCGTGCGGAAAACTGCCCGAGGAAGTGAGTCGCAGAAGGCCCGTAGCAAAGTTGATGCTCTGAGGGCAGCTCTCGCAGCAACCCGAAGGATCCAAGGGCCCAAACCTCCCCCCTACAAAACGCTGCACAGCAATTTCGGACTCACTCCCATATACTTCGCTGAGGGCGGCTCTTCTGGCAGCAAGCCTGGCCATTTGGAGAAGCTGTTGGGCCTTCGCTTCGAGCCTGGTGCGGCAGCTCGAATGGAAAAGCTCCTCGGAATGCGTGATAGCCGGACGAAACTCATTAATATAGGGACCTAAATAATTACCAATACTATTTTTGGGGGGTTCCTTGTTGTAATTATAGTAGAATGGGTCCCAAAACCCTATTCTAACTATTAAGGCCCCTATACTATTTACCTTGCTTACGAACTTGCATCATAAGCCAGGAGTCATGTGCGGATATGTTGTGGCCAATGTGTAGGATTCAACTGGGAAGTAGACCAAGGCAGCGGCCCTCAACCCCCACCCCTCCTCCCGCCTCCGAGAAAGTAGCTAAAGGCCTATGGTTTCAGTAGGGTAGGTCATGATTGTTGTGGTGCTTAAGCTGGAGTCGGTAACTGCATTTCTGCAAAGTACTCATTCTTTTGCGCATCTTGGCACCAAGAGTCTCAATACAATATGAGACCTGAGCTGATCCCGACTGGGGTCGCATATAGGATCGAATCGGATCTTTAGGCATATCATAGTACAACTCTAAACTGGAACCCTGAGGAGCAGTACTGGTACTCGCTCAAACTTCTCAGTATTACTGTAGGGTGACGGGTTGGGTTTTGGCAGTTCAAGGAACCAGCAGTTTGAGGAGCTAACGCTGCGGAATGGCCCGAGGTCGGTCGGCCCTGTAATCAGCTGCAGGGGGCCTCGTGTGAGCATAGCTGCAATCACACCTCAGCCCGAACACCGTAAACCCAACAGCCCTAAGACTGCCCTAAAACCCTGACACCCGAACATCCAAAAGACCTCAGACCCAAAAGCCCCACACCCTGAACCTGTTCTACCCCATGCAGCACGATCTCTGCAAGCCCTGAATCCTGACAGTTGGAGAACCTTTAGAGCTAAGGGGGTTCAGCCCTGATACCAACAGGGTCTTGGGATACACGCATAATTCTAATAATAGTACGTTAATAATTAGCCTGAAGTCATGGACGGGGAGGCCCCTGTTACTCGCAGCCACTAGCCGGTATAACCACCGCCCAGACTAGAAGCATCCTCGTTTCGATGAGGTTCTATCAAATCGCCCAGCAGAACACCACGAGAAACCTGCAGGAAGGCAACGGCAAGTATTCTCTTGCTGACTTGCGGTTCCACGGCAGGTGCCGAGCGGGAGGCGTTGTCGGGGCCAAAACATCCTTCCCAAACCCTACACCTTATGATCCTATAACCTTGCAAACCAAACCCCAAATCGCTTTGGCTTAATTAGGGCTTTTGTTGGTTTAGAGCGTTCGATCAGATGGGAGTTTCCGAAAATAGGGGACTCCAATATAGTACCCTAAATAGTAGGATCCTTATTATACGGACCCAAGAGTGAGGTACCCCTTGTTTTCGGAAACCCCCAGATCCCGGTGGTTCGAGCTCTTCACCCGGAGTTGAGCTGGTACAGTCGTGGCTGGTGACTGGGCGTTCTTCTGGTTGGCTCTTAGGACTTTAACTGTTGGGGTTTTCATATGAACTATCATAAGTATGCTAAAAGTACCCTAAACACTAAACCCTAAACCGAGGGGTTCAGAAGTCAGCCAAGGTGACTTGCTGCCCAAAGAAGGCTGACACAGAGCTTTGCGTTTGTCAGATTTGCTTTTCAGGCTATGAGGCTGCCCACCGCACTGGACTTCTTCCTGTCGCGGCTGTTTGACACAATCCTAGGGCTAAGCCTACAACAGTGGGAGGGGACCTTGACTTAGATGTTGGGCTGGCAAGCCTCAACCTTTTGTTCTGAGGCTTGTGGTTCAAAAGGTGCATTTCGACAACAGATTCAGCCAACCTCCTCACTCCGTGTCCCAAACCGCAACAGCCCCCAAAGACTAAAGAACCTACCTTCGAGTGATGCGTAGCAAACAGTTCAATCTTGTCTCCAGAGCCTTCGGTCATTCCGAAGCCTATAGATCGCGTTGAGCAGGTATCCGAATTGCCCTGCAAAGACCGGCATGTGGAGGTCTGTGTGTAGGACAATGAGATGGGCCAAAGAAAGCTTCTAGCAGTCATGTGCCCCTGAGACGCAGCTTGAACATTGCTTGGTTTCAGGAAGGATCTTGGTCAAGGACCTTTAAACACAGCGCCGCCAAGCAGCGCATGGCCCTTCATCGCCGGAAAGATACGGGAGTTTCCGAAAATAGGGAACCCTCATGTAGTACCCTAAATAGTAGGATCCTCATTATACGGGCCCCAAAAGAAGATCCCCTAATTTTCGGAAACTCCCATACTTGGAAAGCCCTAGTATTGCCAAGCGGGCCATTGCCTGTGCAGTGTGGCAATGACTCAGCTTCGCGCTGCGGCTCCCATGGTCAACTTCGCCACCTTAGGAACCTGATTAAGATACCTTGCGCCTTGTTTTAGGGTGCCTTTAAAGGGGTCTAGAAGGGTTACTATAAGGGATCTAGAAGGATACTGTAGTAATTATGTCGGAAGTTGATTTAGATACCTTGCGGCTTTTTTTAGGGTGCCCTAGATGATTCCTACTATTTTGGGGTTATGGGCCCAGGGTTTCTTAATCAGGTTCCTACATTACGCCCTGAACCCATAACAAAAGTTCTTAGCCCAGGGCCCTAGAACTCTGGAACCCCATGGAGCCTTAAACCCGAGAATCCTGGGAGCCGTGTAGAGCCTAGAGCTCTAAACCCTGATTAGAACCCTATATAAGCTTATAAGCCTACCTTAACCCGAAATAACCTACTAGTACCTTTTTAAGGACTTCTATAAGGACATCTTAATAAGGAGCCCTAAAAAGATAGGTTATTCAGGGTTAAGCCTAGGGCCTACAAGAGCACTCAAGCCCCAAACTGGAACCTAAAGACTTCTTGGTTAAAGCCTAAACCCTAAACTAAAACCTAAGCACTGCTTGATGAGTTGCTGACCTGCAGAACTGCAGTGCTGCGGCTTGCGGTGCAGGAGAGAAAAAAAGCAATGTTGAGGGTTTAACTTTGGATTTAGGATAATTAGGGCCTTCTCGGTCGAACCTACCAACAGAAGCATATCACAGCCAGTGCAAAAGCCCGACGATAATGGCCGGTTGATTCGTTGACGCAGGGCAGGATGAAAAACTTCATAATGTGGAGGACAAACGAACTGGAGAGCAAGCTTTCCAATGTTAGCCTTCGCCCGGAATCTTGGAGAGTCCTAAATCATGTTAGAGCCGAAAGCCTGAAACATCGTATTCCAGGGCTTCAACGCAGAGCCTGATCTAAGCCTTTGGTTTAGAGCGTCAAGTCATAAAATGAGGATTCTCCTCAGCTCATCCCTTTCAGTTAAAGGCTTGAAGCCCTTCAACCTAAGCCTACCAGCTTAAGGCCAGTAACCTTGGCCCTCGATCGGGTGTGGGGCTTCAGTTTAGCACTTCAAGACTCAAGACAGAATAAGTATAGTCAAGACAAGGACCTGGACGGCTGTTAATCCTGTTCCGTATACATTGGGAATACGTAGCGCTGCAAGAGGCTCGGGGTATAATTGCAGACGTCCAACTTTCTTTCAAGAACAATACCAAAGACATGGACGTTGGACACTTCACAGTTTGGTTTGGTCGAAGAGTTCTGAGGTCGGGCTGTGGGGTTTCCAACATGTTGGCATCACCCATTGGGACCTGATGTAACAGCGCCTTGCTCGGTGCTTCCCGGCGACTGTATCTGAACCACAGTCCAGTTGCACCACAAGCACCGTTGTTTCGAAATGCCCGAGTTAGTCGGGCTCATCTCCACAACCCTCGACCAAGAAGCAAGGTGTTTTCTCTGGGACTTATTGCTATTGATCCCAGTGCTACAAGCACTAGAGAAGGGCTGTTGGTGCACCCCCCCGCCCCACCTGAACAATCGGATCTGTATTCATAACTGGTCCTAGTAACAGTCACGGTTTATTGTTCCGGTTCCTACAGCCGCCAACACAACGCCTAGACACGGCTGCCGAATCGGAAAAATGCCCTTGAGACCCGGTAACATCTACAGGCGACTCTCTTCCTCTTCACCCTCTTGCCCCCAAAGGCCCCCAAGAGTATGTTATTCTGTTGATATGGACTCTGAAAATCCGAAATGCTGAGCATGTCCCTCGTCCCCACCACCAAAGTCAAGACCATAATGGTACTCGGCTGGACACCATGCGCATTCGATTTGTTTTTTGTTGATTGCTGTATTTGCTACTGTTCCAGCCACTGTTGGCAAAATCCAGATTCCGTCTCAGGATGGATGACCGAAAAGTTCCTACTACACCCTGAAGCCCAAACCGTTAAACCCTCGCAGACTCAGTGCCGACAACCTCGATTGATATCTCCGAGAGTGAGCGTCGAAACCCTGAAACCACAAACCCCGCCCCAACCTCTTCCTGAGGCTTTGGCGTGCTCTATACGAAGCAGAGGAGGCTGTGCAGCTCGATGGAACGCGATTTTTTCGTTTTCCCGGACTCGCTTTAAATACCTTGGATGGTAAGCGTGGCTTAAATTAAAGCGCATGCCATTTAAAGCGAGCGGCTGGTTCTAATTTTCAGCGTCCTTTATAGATGTTCTGTCGACAATGCTCCAACCAAGGCTTCACCTCCGACCCACTCGCCTCGCACGTCCGAGCGTGAGCGCCGAAGCCGTAAACCCCCCAAGCCCAAACAAAAAGCAGCCTACACCCTCAACCTCAAAGCCGAAACCCCGAACCCAAACCCAAGACCCCAAACCTAGATGGTCTGCTGCGTTGATCCTCTAGCCATGCGAAAGGGGAAAAATCCATGTCTGCTGAGGCTCCAGCGGCTTCTTCATCGCTTCGGCAGCCCGCAGCTCTCTGCAGCCTCTGCAGGCACTGGCGGGCGGGGCGCCCTTTGGGGTCCACTCCCAGAGCGCAGGGTTTCCCCAAGTCCACGACATAGATCCGTATGTATCCGAAGACCTCATTCTCATCATCTTCAAGCCCATGCGGTGTCCCACACTCTTTCACACCTCTGGCCTGCTGGTAGACCCTGAAGCCTACAGCCAAAACCCTCATCGCTCAACAGGAGCTGTGCTCGGTGCCCTGGATGCACCGCCGACGGCACGCTTCGTCGTGGGCCGGCTGCGTGAGGACTACTGTGAGCCGCAGGACGATTTGGCGTCCCGCATATTCTTTTATACTTTTAATTTTAGGGGCTCCTTATCATAATTATCGCATTATATACACCCAAACCCGTTTCTAATCATTAAGGCCCCTATATGTACTAAATTCAGAACCCTAAACCTGAAACACTGGAAACATACATAGGGTTTTGGGGGAGGGCACTTGATGCTTATGCGCTTGTTTTTGGGCATGTGGGCTTATGCCATGATGACGGGCATGACAACCTCACTTGATCCCCGAAGCAAAAGCGGCAATTCTCGTTCGAGTACTGTGAGGAAATAGTAGCCATGCCTTTCATGCCACCGAAGATCCTCTTGCTACATTTCGTCTGATGATGTACCTGTTAGTCGAAGGAACTCGTGTCAGCAGCATCGCGCAAAGGTTTTTAGTCTGAGTCGTTTACATGCAGTCCGACAACATCCAATAACCTAAACCTCTTTAGCCTTGCGCTAGAATACCCAAGAAGGGCACGAGCCTTATAACCTCTTTCCAGAAACATCTATTTTAGAAGCTGCCCCCACCCTGTAATAGTGACTATAAGGATTATATCAGGGCCCGATTATATTCCTATTATACCACTATTACAGGGTGGGGGCCCCTTCTAACATCTATTCGACGTCCGTCGCTTTCAGCGCAGGGAAGGCTGGAGCGGTTTCTGCAATCGCTGAAAGCCGCGGGCAGCATGGCCTTTGCCAGTGTTAGAGGGCCTACCTGGACTCCACAAGTATGTAAAATTATAGCCTTTTATAGGTTTTGGGTCATTGTTTTACCTACTTTGGGGGGTCTAGGTAGTTGCTGAGAAGAGCATTACCAGAGCATTGCCATACTACGACTGTTGGACCTTGAAGTCCAACCCCCGATAAACCCCCCAGGACCCCAATACCTAAGTCCTAGCCTGAAACTTCAACCGCCTCAACGCCCAAAGTTCGACCTTGGTTGGTCCAGGGAACTCAGCTTTGGCAGGGGCCCCCACGGCATGAAGGCCCAAAAAAACAATAGTCTTTGTGTAGAGGGACCGGGGTTGTGATTTGGCAAGGCATTCCACCGACATCCGTACTCCACTTCCCCTGGCGGGGATAGCAGCACTTCCCTTGGCGGGGAATATTTTGGGGCTTCCTGGGACATTGCGCTCGTTGCGGCTTTCAGGGTTGCCGTCGCAGAACGTTTGTAGCTGTATGTTCGACCCGTCTAGCCTGCACCTGAACCCTTCCAAGATTGACGTGGCTCAAGCATGGGCACACGACAACAGAATTCGGAAGCACTTGCTAAAACCACAAAACTGTCCACTGGGTAGTTCAGAGGGGTGCAGTGCCTGTGAACAGTTGGTAGCTGTGCTTAGGAGCCGCTCAAGCTAAGGCTACACCCCCAGGTCACTTACCGTGGACGTTGGCTGCTCGCTGGCAAGTGGTCGGAGGCCTCACAAGGTGGGATGAAGGTAGGTGGGATTAAGGATCCCTTATATATGGACTTTCATTTGGGAATATCCCACCTACCTTCATCCTACCTTTTGAGGCCCCCGAAGTGGGGTTCAATCGTTTAGTCCAAAGCAGCCGCGGAGCAGAGCTTTAAGATACACCACACGCAAATCAGGGCTTAGCTTCAAGCACCCTGGGTTGACCAGTTACTGAGCACGCCTGCTTGTTTAGGCTCCTTTGTTGGGATTGTGCAGGAGTTTGGTAGTTGGCGTCTCTTATGTTAGGTCTACAAATTAGAGCTGCGGTTGGCATGCTGCTCAGGTGCTTACTGCCCGCAGCGATCAGCTGAGGCAGGACTACCACACACACACACACACACACACCCTCGAAACTCAACGTGGGTGGCTGTCAAAATTAGGGTCGGTCCTTATTATATTACGGCACCCAATATTTAGGGTACCCCAAAAGGGACCATAATTTTGACAACCACCCACGCATCAACCGGCATGAGCTGCATGTTGGTCATCAGGTTTAATGATCACTATTGTCATTAGATTAAGTCTTGGTATCTAGTTTTATTACCAGTATTTCTCAGTATTATTAGTACCATTATGATTCGCAGTATTTTTGTTGCTGTTATCGTTATTTTTATGGCAGCTAGTACTGCTAACTACGACAATTTCTTGTATTAACAATCTGTTTTGGTCCAGTCAAAGTCATTCTTGATTCACTGACTCCGGGAGTCTTGAATCCAGTGCCCGCAAGCCTAGTCTCCCCGTGGTATGGACGGGGTTTACCGCAAAAGGATTTCAGTCGCAGGAATTCAAGCCCGAAAATCTCAAGGGTTTGAGGCCCAGCTCAGTTTCCTACACTTTAGTGTGTCATCTCCAGTGAAGTGCTTGGGGTTTGAGAGTTCCGGCTCTTTTTCCTACAGTGGGCTCCTTTGGGGTTTCGTGCGATGGAAGCCATGAGTCGCAAGACTTTCGGCACCGGAGTCCGTTGCTAAGGCAGTCAACCTACTCAACAGCAAGACGCACGGCCAAATTCGAGGATCCCACCAAACCGCAAGTGCAATAAGATGTCTTCTACTGCCGACAGCAATTATAGAGGACCGAAAGGCCCTGCAGAGCTGTACGCTAAGACCCCCCTCCCCTCGACAAAAAGGACCCCTCTGTGGAAGAAGGCCCATGTTGAGCCCTGGATTCTCTCAAGCCCAGCACTTGGCTTTCCGACGAAGTAGGTAATTAGTAGGTTTGCGGGATTAAAGCTCTGAATCAGGCGGAAGTCGCCGAGTGTTTTACGCCGCTTGGCCCGCCTCACAGTTTAATATAGCTGGACCCCAAAAGTCTGTAGAATGATAGCTTTCTATAGGTTTTGGGATTTGGGACATTATTTACCTACTTTTGGGGGTCTAGGTAGTATAGAATCCCTACAAACCCCAGATTCATGGGCTTCGAGGGCTTTCGAGCTCCAGGATGCGTCGACTGACTCGTGTCTCCGGCTGATCTTCTTGAAACCAATGAATTCATAAAGCTTATCTACCAGGCCATGCAGGAGGCAAAAAAAATAAAGCTTATCTCTAAATTATAGCCTTATAGACGTCGACGGTGCCAAGGTCGGTGTCTCATAATTCTGGGGGCATTGGAAGAACAGGACCGCTAGCGCTGCAGGGACCGCGAAATGCATGCTAATCATAGGCTGGCTCAATCACAAAGCGAGAAGTACAACCAGACTGTTGTTCTCCATAGCCTAGATGTTTGCTCCAGGAACAAGGCAGTAGCAGAGCCCTTAGCCCGGCGGAATCCCAAACTGAACCCGTGGAGAGGTTCTCCTGTGGCGAACCTTTCATATGAGCTGTCGGAAACTGTTGGACCCATCATATATGAACCTGTTGCAGCAAATCTTCAACACACACGGAGACAAAAACCTACCAAGTCCAAGACACGTCGTGTGCAACCCAGCAGAAACGGGTTCAACGCCAGTCTCTCATGATTTTCAATCCTGGCACACCCGTTCAAAGCCTGATAGAACTTCTCGGGATTGTATGTATGCCCAAGAAGAAGTAGGATCGACCTTACGAGGATGTCTGAGCAAGGCCCTCCTATGTCCAAAACCCCTTCATCTTTGCTTTGGATGAGGGCCGCGTTCCTCCGCACCTTTGGATGCGAGCTGGAAGGCGTTTTGGCATTGGAGGCGGATTGGGTTTTCATGGAATCTGAGGTTTTGGGGTCTCTTGGTTGTTTCCTGTTGCGGGCCTTGTGCAGGTTTCGGGGTGTAAAACGAAGGCTAGGAAGCAGGCGTTGTTTGTTTACTTTGCGCTTGTTCTGTCGGAGTGCACGCCTATTGATCTTGATATGTGTGTCTTCTGATGTGGGTGTCAAACAGTTGGATTTCTTGTCAAATCGTCCCTTCGTAAGCGTTGTTCCGTAGTTGGTTTTGATAAGGTCTTCGAAGGGTCCTGGTGCGTCGTCAGCCGGATCGTCGTGTGGCTTTGCGATTTTCTCATTGAGCCTTGTCCTGTGGCAGGCGAGCCCCTTAAACGTCGCAGAGACCGTCTGGGTGTTGGAGCCTCTTGAAGAAAACGCTAGTGATTGCAACGGTTCTTATACATACCAGGCAGCAGCTTATCCCTCAAGAGATCACCACAACACCGTACAAGGACTGCATTCCTTAATTTCGTGATTGTTTGGATTATTCGGGCTGGAATGCTAAGCTAAGGCTCTCATGCATATTGCATATTCCTCATGCGCACATGTGTAGGGGGGCTCGGAATACCGTATAAGCCCGGCTAAGTCCTCATAAAACGTCGAGTGAGTCAGAGTGAGTGCCGGAAACAATCTGAACCCAACGCCGAAAGCCCTGCAGGTATAGGGCTTTGTCAGATTTAATGGTCCCGAAGCCTTCCATGGCATCTGGCCCGATCTTACTAGCGTGGACACGGAAGTGAGAACGGAAGCCAGTGTCTGTTCCGATAAACCACCCTGTGAACCCATCTGCACCGATTGCACATATCGGAGTATCAGAAAAGGTTCAGACTTCAAGTAGATTTGTGCCCATTATTCTGGCTGTTTTCAGTGGTGTTCAAAGTCGTATTGGGTGTTCTCTATGATACCTTGACAAAGGAAGCCCCGATGAGGCACGGCCAATTTCCATTCCCCAGACCTTATACCTTAGAATCCTTAGAATTCCCTTAGATATCCCTTTGTGTACCCCAGACGGAGCCCTAGAAGTATGGAAAACAAACCTTTTCAGCGAACCCCTACACCCTTTGCCCTAACCCCTAAATCCCTAACCCCTATAAACCCCAAGCCCCAAAATCCCTACACCCTCATAAGAAGCCCCGGCCGAGCCGAGGAAGGCTTTGCCAGCGAGTTGCGTGGCAACCGTGGAGCTTCGACAGCCCCCTGGTTATAGGGTTTAGGGTTTCGAGTTTAGGGTTCTGGGTTAAAGTTTAGGGTGTTAGGGTTTAGGGTGTTAGGGTTTAGGGTTTCTGGTTTAGGTTCTGGGGTGTTAGGGTTTAGGGTTAAGGGTTTTGTTGGGGTCGGTTAGAGGGTGCGCTATGCAGCGCGATTTTTGGGCTTAGGGTAGTTCGGGCGTTAGAAGGTGCGGTATGCAGCTGGATTTTGGCATAGGGTTAAGGCTCAGGCTTGAAGTTTTGTTATAATCAAAGCCCGAAAACCCCGAACCTTCTTCGGGCCGTCATGTATCGAAGCACATAGCAGCACGTGCCAACATATTATAATTAAAGGGAGCTCCAGAAAGTTGGAATATGGTTTCAGGGTAGGATACCTTATAATTTACCATAAAGGGTTTAGGATAATCATATTCCAACTTTCTGGCTTTTACTTCAGAACGCTACAGACAGGGGCTGTAGTTCTCTAAGTAGTCCCTCAAACCAGGCCTCCGGATTCGTTTTGGTTTGAGTTTGTGGTTTACCCATAGGCCCCAAAGTAGTTCCTTTTTGGGATTACCTTATAGAGGATTCTATATAAGAGCCCCAAAAAGGAACTACTTTGGGGCCTTGGGGTAAGGATTGGGATTGGCAGGAGTTTGCGGCACCGGGGGAAGCCGCTGCTGTCAGACCGATTCCGGCATTTAGGACTCAGGCTTCTGGCAGAAGGGTCCAGGATTTAGGGTATCCAGCATCCACGAACAAGCTTGAAGAACTTGCTTTATCGGGAGGTCGAGACGACGTCGCAGCAGTGTTTTGTCCATAAACCCCGACACTCTCATTCCCAAGTTGATTTCAACCAAAGCCCGGGTTGGGCCCAAAATTCAAGCCAGCCTTGATCGTCGGGAGTGGATTCCACAATGATAGACTGCAGAAGCCCCGTGACATGTGGGAGCAACAAAGCCTCTCGCAAGCCGGAAGCCGGGCCTGTCGAGGCACGCCCTAGGGGCGCAGAAGGACTTTGCTACTGGCCGGCGGTTTCGAGGAAATTTACGGGCTTGGGGGTTTGGGTTTAGGATTTAGGGTTTATAAGGTTTTAAGGATCGCTTCTCACCCCATTGTACGGTTTGAAATTTAGGGTTGCTGGCGTTCGGTTTAGGTTTTCGTTTCAGGGTTGATGGCGCATAGGAGCAGGGTCACGTGCAGGAGTCGTCGGACATTTTCTTTTGGTAAGAAGTTAACTATGGAAGGTTCCGGCTTTCACAAATGAATTTGCTGCCCGAGTCAGTTGTTCAGAGGATACATCAGTCTATTTCTGACTTGGTTGATGGGCATTGCTATCGACTGCATCCAACCGACCTTCCGCGTAGTTCGCAGAGGATGTTTGTAAAGCTTGTGAAGTTGTGTTGGAGGCTGAGTATGAAACAGTAGTTTGTTACTGTTCTGCCGCCTATTTCTGGCATGTACAAGAGGTCGAGATGACCCCCGTGAGGCCCCTACACGAAAATACCCTGAGCCCTGAAGCCCAAACCGAAGCCCTAAATGACGGTTTGATAAAAGCAGCCAAACAACAAACAGTGTAAAGCCCTCTGTAACCCCTCACCCCTACACCAGTTACCCTGCGATTCGGGCTCGTCGGTGCTAGCTAGGAGGGAAAACACCCTAAACCCTATACAAACCCACAAAAAGCTTAAACCCTATACAAACCCACAAAAAGCTTAAACCCTATAAACCCTAGACAAGGCTGCCCACAGCCGAGGCCAAATTCTCAGGCGCCGGCGGTGCCGTCTCTGCGGAGCTCCCTGGGGAGCCCAGGCTTCATGGTCTTCATTTCGGGTTCAGGGCTTTACGGTTTAGGGCTTTAGGGTCTTTTGGTTTTGAAATTATGGGTTCAGGGCTTTTACGCAACTTTAGGGCTTTAGCCTAAAGCCTTTAGGGTTTTAGGGTTTTTTTGGCTTTGGGTTCAGGGTAAAATGGTATCGAGTGTAGAAAGTTTAGGATTTCCGTCCAGATGGTTGCAGGTCGCGATCTGGCTAGACTTGAGCCCAGTAGCAGGAAACAAGGAGGGTTTAAGGGTATAGGATTTCTAGGGTTTAGAATAATTATAATAGGATTTCTAGGGTTTAGAATAAATATAAGTTTCTCTCTCCGGGCCGGGCGAGCACTAATCAAGCCTGTGGAAAAAAAAAGGTGCCAGTTGATCAGTTTTTGCAATCTGGGGTAGCCGTGTGGCACGAGCCCACAGCACAGTCGGCGCCTCGGTACCTGGCATATGCGTAGTCCACGTGTAAAAAAGGTGTAGGTTGGTATTGTTTTGGGGTCAGGTTGGTTCCTGCGGGCTTATTCCTGTGCTTCGGGTCACCTCCGGTTTTCTGTTTTGAGGTGCTGTCGGGCCTGGGATTGTCAAGCTGTAAATCTATCCAGGGGTTCGGTGGTTTAGGATTTATAGGTGGTATTTTTGTACAGAGAGGCCTTCGTCTTCTCGCGCTCGTTCCCCTCGCTTCTCGCAGGTTGTTTGATGGATGCGAAAGAGCGCAGTTTTGTGAGTCTTATTTGCTTCTGGTTTTAAGCCGGCCTGTGTTTTGTTGCCGTCCTGGTGGCCCTAGCAGCAGTGGAGGTCCTCGGCCCTAGGCAATGGGCGTTATCCTGTTCGTCACTTTATCTGTCGAAGCTTAACTAACTACTCACTGCCCTGGTTACATACACCTAAATCTCATGCCGACCCCGTAAGCTCTGTAAGCGACAAAGCCCATATCATTAGGCCGTATGAGTGCATACAGCTTGTCTTTAAACAGTCTGGAGCTATATGATTTCCAGCAGGCCAGCTCCATCACACGAAGAGTACATGCTGCGGGATCCGCATACTGGAACGCTCCAGGAGCAGACAAGGGATTTGTTCTAAGGGTGTACATGTGATTCGGATTTAGGCTGTTGGATGGGCATTTCAGGGTTTGGGTTGTTGCCGACTTGGGATGTATGGCTATACTTGGCCATGCGGCCGATGAGGTGCATCGCAGTGACCGCCGCTTCTGCTCGGCTTCCTTACATTGACCCGTGTCCCTGTGCAGAAAAACCAACCTTAATGTTTGCAGGAGGACTTCAAATTCCCCGATCTATTGAGAAATACCTTTAATGTTGATTACCATGTCGGTTGAGATCTTGTGCATCGATGAGAAGGTTTGCAGTATCTAGATAGAGAGGTGTATCTTTTTTGGTCTCTCTCTATCTCTCCTCGTATTTGTGTATTATGTCATGTCGTGTTGTACACTTGATGCCCCACAGAACCGTTCACATATAGCCCTATGTAACGCTTGTAAGCACTATCTCCTTCTTGTTTTATGTCAACTCGTACAACGCTAACCCGACCCCTCCAAGGCCCAAACCCGAATGAACATTTCAAACCCCCTTGACACCCGGAAGTCTCAAATGAAACCCCAAAACCCGAACCACTTTGAGCAAGCATCGTCCAGCCGCGTCCCCCTACAACGAGGATTCTACTAGTTAGGGTAGTATATTAGGGTCCCCTATTTTCGGCAACCCCCATTTCGGAGAACTTCTAGAGGGGAACCTTCATCTCGAGCTTTTTTGTGGCTCAAGCGCCTTCCTTTGCCATTCCCAGCGTCCGCTCACGGAAGCCAAAAAGAACATGGCCCGTCGCACTGCTCTTCCTGCGCTGGTCGGGGCCCTGGGATTCCGAGTTTGGATGGCGTGGGTGGGTGGGTGTGTGTGTGTGTGTGTGTGCGTTTCACCCAGTTGAGGGCAAAATGCCAGCGTTTTTTCGGAGAAAGGGTGCGGTTCAACTTGAAAGAAGAGAGTTTGGTGTTTTCGGTTTTACTTGTCTGATGGTGCACTGGCCCGGGGGCCTAAATCAAGGGCTGTTTCATTCAGTTTTGAGTGTTGGAGGGCGCAGGTGTTCATGGTTTTGCGGATTTGTCGTGTTTGAGTAGTGTGTTTGTTTCTGTGGGTTGAGGAATGTCTTAGTAGCCAAGGCGACGGTGCGAAACTGTCATAATGGCTGTTCGGACGTATATGACAGCATGGTAGTGCATGTGGACCTTCCGCGTATGGTCTGCAGAAATATTTCGATAGTTCGCGGTTTAGAGATGTGGTTCTTGTGTAGGGCTTATATGGGTAGTTGTCAAAATTTCGGTCCCTTTCTGGGTACCCTATAGATAATATGAACCATAATTTTGACAACCACCATATGGCTAAGGACTAACCCTCGTTGACCCCGAAACCACCGACTCCAGGTGGTGGCCTCTTGCATCGTCCTGATCTTGGGCCATGCTTGGGGCTTGGAGGGTTTGGAGACGGTTTGGGGGGATGTAGAGCTGTGGGGTTCAGGGTTTATGGGTTTAGGATTTGGGGTGTATGGTCCGGGGTTTGGGTTTTGAAGGGGCTTAGGGGGTCTCGGGCGTGAGGGCTTGCGAGTCTGAGGGACTTGAGGTCATGGTTTGAGTTTGAGGGTTGAGGGCTGGAGGATTTAAGGGTGGCTGGTTTGTGGTTCAGGGCCTAAAGGCCCTCCATCCCAACCCAAACGGCAGTAACCCCACTCAACCCCCTTCCCTGAACCCAGCCCTTCAGTATATAGTACAAACAATATACATCTCATTCTGAGGCCCTGAGCCACTTTGTCTCCCTCTCTAAGCCCCTTCTAGCACCTGACGAAAGCTCGAGGGTGTGCGGGGAACCTCTTTGTCAGACCCGCCGTATTTTTGGGTAAACCGTATGACACACGGCTTAAACATTTTGATCCCTCGGAGAAAGCCGCACCAGAAGGCGCTTGTAATAAGAAAAACCTTACAAAGCTTTTTCCTGGACCCCAAATGTATGTAGAATTATAGCCTTGTATAGGCTTTGGGCCATTATTTTACCTACTTTTGGGGGTCTCGGTTAAGGCCTTGTAAAGCACGAGACACCTCTGCACCAGAGAGGCCGGCTGCTTGCTCTTCGCGAACATGTCGTCTTCCGGCAGCCTGCGCTCAAACGTGGCCATGCGCGCTGAGCAAATGGAGGCGGTGTTCGTGGGCTTTCTCCCGGGATGTAGGTCTGAGCTTAGGCCAGCAAACCTAGAACCCCAAACCATGCAAGCCGAGATCCTATTCCTCTACAGGACTATAGTGTTTTGCACCCTTGATCAGGGCAAAACGGAGAGGGGTAAGCCGAAGCGGGGGAAGGGACGACCCCCGCACGAACTTCGTCGAACCCCGGCGCCCTTCGCCGAACCCCCCCCCAAACCCCCCCCAGCATTAATAAATATTAATATTATTATCATTAGTATTATTATATTATTATTATTGTTATTATTACTATTATTATTATTATTATTACTATTATTATTATTATATTATTATTATTATTATTATTACTATTATTATTATTATTATTATTATTATTATTATTACTATTATTATTTTTATTATTATTACTATTATTATTATTACTATTATTATTATTATTACTATTATTATTATTACTATTATTATTATTACTATTATTATTATTATTAGTAGTAGTATTAGTATTATTGGTATTATTGTTGTATTATCAGTAATATTGGTATTCTTAGTAGTATTATTGTTTTTAGTATCTTAGTATTATTGGTATTATTAGTATTATTGGTAATATTAGTGTTCTAAGGTATTATTAGTATTATTAGTTTAATATCAGTATTACTAGCATTATTAAGGTATTCTTAACTTAATATTATTAGTATTACTTCTATTAATAATATTATTTATTATTAACCTTAGCATCATTATTATGATTATGATTATGTCATACTGATAGGATTGTTACTGGTAGTAGTCTTTATTTATTAGTCAATAGGCATATATATATATATATATACATGTGTATATATATACATGTGTATATGTATTTATATAACATATGGATGATGTTATGGTTTATATGGTATAGCATTTTGCTAAAATTAACATTTGTCTATCTTAATTATAGCATAATATTACAATCTTATATCAGATCATACTGTCTGAAATCCTATAATATTTTACTGTGCCTCACCATTTATTACTATATCATGTTACAGTAATAATAACAATTGGTCTGCATATTGATTTTATATATTACATCAGTGCTGTTCTGTAATAATATATATGGTGTACATATTCATATTCCATGTTTATACAACAGTGAGTGAATATTACATGGCATATTAGGACATTTTGTGATACATGTCTGATATGCTATAATTATTGGAATATGCCAGATGATATTAGGTAATGCTGTATTTTATCGTATTATTCGACTATTTGTTTTGCATTATGGTGTTTATGATGGTGATGATGAGTATCGTCATGATGACAAATATTACCCTTCTGATTATGATCATTCTGATATTTTGGTACAATTGCAGTTTTTAGCTTAGCTTTGAGTGGCATTGCTCATAAGAGTTTGTATCCTTTGAAATCTCACAACTTCAGTAGCAGTGGTAGTAGCGGTATTCGACTTCGCCTTCGTATTCGCATTGGCATCATGAAACTTGAAGCTTTTGTCACTGCTATTGATTTCGGTATTTAGATAATCGCGATTATTTCTAAAGCGCGGTTGCGGGTCTGGCTTGTATCGCCTTCGACTTCGTCGTGTGCTACATCTTCATGGTCTTCAGGCGGGGCGTGAGTGAGCTTCAATTTTTATTTTCAGGGTTTTGGTGGGGTTTCGGCACGGCCATAGGATTCAAGTGTCTTGGGATTTTGGGATTCAGAAATTCAGGGTTGGCAGTTATGGTCATGGTTTAGGGGTCCGGGGTAGGGGACCAGGGTTGAGGGTTCAGAAGGGTGTGGTCGTGAACCTATATGGATTTGGGGGTTCCTGAACTTAGGGGTTGGGTGGTGCAATATTCATAGGTCAAGGTTCCTTAAGGGTTGTTGGGGTTCAAAACTTCTGGTATGCATTTGGAGTTGAGGGGATCAAGGTTTAAGTGTACTGTAGGGATTTCGGGTGTAAGTTGGGAGTGTGGCTTGGGGGTGTTCAGGGTCCCGCCGAACCCCCAATGACCCAACTAATCACTAATCAGCAACAACAATCAAAAATCAAGAAACCCTAAACCCCTAACCATCCCTAAACCATGAACTTCCTAAGTGGTGGGATTAACTCAGGCGAAACCCACGAACCTGAAAATCCCCCAATAAAAAGGACCTCGACTCATATTATAAAACACAAACATAAATAACGAAGGCGAAACCCACAAATCTCAAAATCCACCTGATAATAATGATAAGTCCTAATATCGAACCCATTAAGTCGTCCCCCGAAAGCCAAAACCCCTAAACCCTGAACCCTTATTAAAGCCCGAAACCCCATCGTAGACCGCGGACACCACGTGGAGAGGAGGCCGGGGGCAAACCCCGGGGGTTTCGGGGTTTGACAGGTTGGGTTTGGGGGTGCTGATTGGGCGAGCTCTGTTCTTTCGGGCCCCAATCACTGGGTGAGCCCCTTTGGGCCCCAGTATCGCTGGGCGAGCTCCATCGTGGGCCCCAGTGACCACCAGGCGTGCCCAATCGGGCCCTGGTCAAACTTTGCTGGGCGAGCTCCATCGTGGGCCCCAGTAACCAGGCGTGCCCACTCGGGCCCTGGTAAAACTCTGCTGGGCGAGCTCCGTCATGGGCCCCAGTAACCAGGCGTGCTCACTCGGGCCCTGGTTTCACTCTGCTGGGCGAGCTCCGTCATGGGCCCTAGCAACCAGGTGTGCTCATTTGGGCCCTGGTAACCCTGCTGGGTGAGCTCCGTGGGCCCCAGCAACCAGGTGTGCTCGATTGGGCCCTGGTTTCACTCTGCTGGGTGAGCTCCAGTGTGGGCCCCAGCAACCAGGTGTGCTCGATTGGGCCCTGGTTAAACTCTGCTGGGTGAGCTCCA